TGCTAATCTGATTCTTATGTCCTTGTTGTTTGTTGTTCCTGTTCTGAAATTTTACAAAAATAGGTCATTTTTTATTTATCCAGTTTGGTACCTTGTAGGTCCTTAATTTTTAGACTGTATTTCGTCCCCTAACTTTTTGTTCTAATCTCTTTTCTCTGGCACTTTATTATTGATCTTCTCTCTTCTATTTTCCATCTCATTGTTTTTCTTTAGCTTTGTAGGAGATTTCATCAAAATGATCTTATACAGGCCGAGCCCGTGGCACACTTGGGAGAGTGTGGCTGCGCTCCCGCTGCGGGTTCAGATCCTATATAGGGATGGCCGCTGCGCTCACTGGCTGAGCGTGGTGCAGCCGGTCTCCAAAAAAAAAAAAAAGATCTTATACTTCTTCCAACGAAGTATTATTTTAGCAATCATAATTTTTTTTTTTTTGTCTTTTTCCGTGTCCGGCAACGGATCGCAACCCTCAGTGTCGCCCCCGTACCGGCAACGGGATCGCAGCCCTCGGTGTTGCTCCTGCGCCTCGCTCAGCCAGTGAGTGGGAACCGGTCTGTATGTGGGATCCGAACCCTCGGCGGGAGCGCCGCCGCGCTTCCCAAGCGGTGCACTATAGCAGTGCGCTACCAGGCCGGCCCAGCAATCATAATTTTTAATTCACAACCTCTTTCTTTGTTCTGAGTTCCTTTTCTCATTGAATCTTGCTATTATTATTATGAATGAAATAATTCTGAGAATACTAATTTAAATTGTTATGTTTTTCATCCTCTTCTCTAAATTAACCATGTTTCTGTCATATTGCAGACTTTCCTCCAATGTCTAATAAATTCTTACTGAAGAATGACATACTAGAAAGCCAAGATCCCTTTTTATTTAGACAAGGTTTGTTGATTGAGAGATTTGCTTTATGCCGAGCAGGCTGACCTTGTTCTGAGTCCACCCCCACCCTAACCAATGCCAGAATGAGAAGTTTATCCAATTTCTTCTGTGAAAAACTTCTCTCTCTTTCCCCTTCCTTCCTTCTGGTCATTTCTCTCCCTCTCTCTTCCTTTCTCTGTACCTGGGAAGGTAAACTGGTTGCTCAGTTATTTTGCATTTGGGGTGGAGGGTGAACCTTTAATTGGTCTCCTTGTTTGGAACAATACTTTTCATTCCCTTTTTTCTTTTGTAATTTCCCTGTATTTGGCTCCTTTCACATGTTTTCACATGGAGCGCCTTTCACATATTTTCTAGGTTCCAGCTTTCTCTGTTATGCAAGTTACTGGGCTGGACATTTCCAGTTTGCTCCTCCAGATCTGCTTTCCCCCCTTTTGTGTCTGCTCCTACCCTTGGAGACTAATCTTTATTTTTTTTTAATTTATTTTTTTGTCTTTTTCGTGACCGTTAAGGGGATCACAACCCTTGGTGTGGTGTTGCCCACACCGCGCTCAGCCAGTGAGCGCACTGGCCATTCCTATATAGGATCCGAACCGCGGCGGGAGCGTCGCTGCGCTCCCAGCGCTGCACCCTCCCGAGTGTGCCACAGGGCCGGCCCGGAGACTAATCTTTATAACAGGGTTTCTTTGCCCTCTGGTTTCCAGTTGGGTTCCGCCAGGGGAAGGCACCAGCAGCAGGCTGGAGGGTGTGTTTCCTTAGCTCCCTCCCTTAAGTTTCAATAACTGCTCTCTCCCCCTGCTGCATCAGGCCTGAGGGTGCTCTAGCAGGCCTTGTTGGTTTCCCTTTTCTCTGTTCACATAACATTATAGCCTCTTTGTTAACACTTCTCAGTGACCCGTTTGTGTGTGTCATCTCTTTCCTACCAGGATTTTTGACTGGTAGGAAATAATAACACTGATATTTCTTCATGTAATAATGATATTTCTTCATCTAATGTTGTTCTTCCAGAAGTATGAAGTCTCATCTGTTGATTTCCTCCCCCTCTATTTCTTCATATAGTCTTGACAGAGAGAGAAGATAAAGTTATATGCTCAGTCCATCATGCATTGCT